ATCACTTTGTCTGCCATTCAGCGCTGAACCGATAGTATAGACAGAGTGAAAGTCAGAAAACAAGGTTAAAGGGATAGTTAGGGTTTTTTGAAATGTAGTTGTCAGAGGTGCTTATCCATAGTCAGTGTATTGCTTGTAGTAGATGGAGGTCGGCACACCAACAGTTTAGAGTAACAGGAGTCTCAGCACGAGAGCAAAGTAATACTGCTGTGGACGGGCAGCAGCAACAAAACCTATTTTAGACAAAGAAAAATCTAAATCCTTTTTAGTGTACGCTGTATTTAGAATATTTTTACCGCTTTACTTTACCATCACACAGTCCTTTTAGAAGGGGAACTTTACTCGTTATCTAAGCTCTCTTCAAAGACACGAGACTTCTTTGACAAAAACAGTACTTTGAGCTCTCAGAACACAGGACATGCTGGTCTCCTGCTGCCTGCTGCCTCACTTTGTTTGGGTTTTTGTGCGACCTTGGTGTTTTAACGGGTTAGTTCCCGGTTCACCAAAGTCACACAGTAACACAAAAGGACTAACCGAACGAGGCAGAGGTACAGCCCGATAAAGTTGCGGCTGCAAGACCGAAACAAGCTGAAAGACGGTAAAACATTCAGTAGAGCTGAGGGGAAAGACGGGGGGGGGGGAGGTAGTATTCAGTTCGGTTCAGTTTTCTGCAGGATTATGGGAAAACTGATTATCATGACACTTGGTGGAAGGGTTAAGCACAGGCCAAGGAAAAACCCATTAAATGTTGGTGTGGATCCAAATCACAAGTTATGTTTCACATTCGTGAACATTGCGAGGTGGAGCATTTGGCCTGCGCTTCCCGAGTGCTCTTGTAGCTGTCAACATTCTTACACAAGTAGTACTGTGATCTACTGCTAATGTAAAAATATTGATGAGAATTCAATCTGGGCGGGACGAACTCTTCGATGTCTTTTTACGTCTCTGCCTGAAGATAACGTGGCTCCAGTTCCCCGACCTGGAGTGAATCCGACCCCTGGCTGGGCAGAAACGGGATGAGGAATCTGAAACGTGGCCCATGTGGGGCGACATGTGAGCCCCACACCTCTGAGCGTGAGCCGGATGTACGCATCAGCAACATCCGACAGACACGCCTGATGAATGAAGCCACTTGATACGCTCAAGAATTACAACTGTACAGAAATGTGACCATACACATCTAGATTTTTTTGCACACATATTTAGTGCAGCAGCCGCTTATTTATCCCCTGCATTGGATCATTTTATGCTGGGAAATTTCTGGCCACGCAGAAAGTGCAGCAGTGGGGGAAAAAGAAAACGCTGATCTGATGCTGGACTGTTATCTGCAGATCCAACAGATACACATGTACGGGACATTGTGGGGCAATAAGGAAGCAAATCATAGAGGGATGCTTAATCATCCCCAGACTCCTGATTCAAATCTAAAGCATGTACTTATAGGGTCATCAGGGAACCACATAATAGCCCTGTTATGATGTTAACAAAGTTATTTTTACTTTACAAATTTGGTTCAGGAGAGGATCCACATATCGTTTATCTGTCCAACCGGAAGCTGCAATCAGGTCTGTGAATCAATGCATCATGAGGAGAGTTCACATCAAGATCACTAAAAACGTCTGCTAAAAACTATATTTTCATTGGACAAGTAATATCTAAAGGTCATAAATTGAATGTTATAAAATATCACCAAAAATGGCATGAATTTAACACAGCTTTGTTGAAAAGTGTGCACGTGCTCCACATGTGCCACATGTATCGCCTCCTTTAGAAAGCACTTCCTGTCTGCCTCTGTTCCGTGTTGGACACGACTCTCAGCGCTCAGGGCTGCAAGCATGGAAAAGGCGGCTGATGACCCAGAATCCCCTGCAGGCCTTCTAGTGAGCTGCTGCCTGTTCAGCACTCTGTATACCTCCTAATACATTAAACACAATGGCGGACCCTGCCTGAGCTGCAGTCTGCATACTGTGAAGAACTGAAAAGAGTCCAACAAAGACCTGAACTTGACAAGCACAACATTTGTACTCTTTGTATATATATGGTGTACTGTATGTTAGCTTTCCTCCTCAACACAAATGTGTATCCTGTATATCACTTGTGTCACCATTCAAAATGGACTTTAAAGTTTCGTACTTTAACTTGAAATGTTTTTTGATGACATTTTAATCCCATTTTGTACTGGCTAGAAAAACAATTATTCTTTAAGATTAATAGATAGTACTGTTTCAATCTGCTACGACCTACATCTGCAGAATAGAAGAGTGAACCATGACGATTGTCACGAAGCTACTTTGCCTCTTCGCCACGCACGTCTGAAACCCTAAACCGCTCAGAGGCCAAGTGCACCGACCCCGGCCCTGAACTTCCTTTTAACTGGATACGCCGTGTTTGAACCGGCCCTGCTGAAAAAGCCCCGCCATCGTCCTTTCACCGCCCGGCACACAACCTTCAGACGGCCTGAATTCACAACAGTCGGCTGTTTGTGAAAACATGCTGATACGGGCTGGACAGAGACCCTGGAGTAGAGGGAGTGTTCAAACACGCAGAGTTACAGACAAAGCAAACAGGAGAGCTCCAAAGGTTAAAGCAGGTTAAGAGTGCCAACAGGCTGGTAGACAAGCTCATGGTTAAAAAGCAGAGGGCCTCGTTGTAGTTTCTTTTGTTGTTTGATTAAAATACATTTTGAAAGAGAAAGACCACTTATTTAACCAGGTAAGCCCGTTTGAAGGGTGAAACCTCTATTGCCAGGGAGACCTGTCCATGACGAGCATAAACAGTAGAGTAAAACAATACAAAGATCAGACAACAGAAAGAAGAATACTAAAAAAAGACAGGTGATAGAATAACAGAAAGAAAAGGAGTAAAGTAAGAGAAGAGTAATCTCATATCGTCCTTGTATGTTGGGTTTTATTCAGCAAACGGAGCTAGAAAACACTTCCTCAGTCTTTGTTCATAAGCCTGAAATGAGCTCAAGATATTTGGGTCAAGACCCAAAGCTGGCTGGTAGAAACAGGTTAACAGGTCCCTACCGTCAGTGATGGGTAACCAAGGCCATGTGTCAATAGTGGCCCCGCTTGTCTCAACACATACAGAGGAGCATCAACAGGCTCTTGTGATTAAGCACCGATTCTCTACCAAGTGCCTGGAAATAGCAGACAAGAATGCACAGTGGGGAGCGATGGTCTAGAGGTGACGACATGCGTACAAATGAACTGAGCAGCACTCAGTGAGCAGCACTCAGTGAGCAGCGGTGTTGGACACGTTAAGTAACTCCTTTGGGAGTGCTCGGTGAAGCGAGGCAGCTTTTGTCCCCCCAGAGCCCCGGAGAAAGCATTGTGGGCCCGTCCCAGTGGGTAGGACTCCCTTCTGGTCCCGCTCCAGGTTCATTTAAATGTCCCTGTTCCAGAGTGTTACCACATTCTGCCAGAGACCTCGACTCACAGAGCGGCATGTTAAAAAGCTTCTCCTTTGAGCTGAGCCAGCTTCACTGGGCCGGTTGGGTTCTGTCTCCTCAAAGTGGGGCCTTTGTGTCTGTTCAATAGTCTGCTGTTAATCCTCGACTTAATGAAATGTAGATGGTGCACACCGAGTCAAGGATCGGTATAGAAGAAGCACACTGTCCATGGTCTGAATACCTGATCAGCTGAGTGTTTGAAAAAAGAATACATAATGGAAGAAAGGCCTTTGGTTTACTTTGCAGGTTGAGGAACTAACAGAAATGGTTGAGTCCTCCTGGGTAGATCTATTGAGAGTGTTGTCACAGCAACAACATGTCAAGCTAACTTTTACTACGGTTGTTTTGCATCAAACTCAGTTGGACGTTCGGGTTTTGAGTGCCGATATCTAACAAGACTTTCTCCAATACCTCAATGTTTTTAATACCCATTGTGTCATTGCTTAACAAATAAGAAAAAGGTCATTTGTTAAACAGCAAACATACATTAACTTTCCCATATAAATTGATTTGTCTAAAATTGCCAAAGTTTGATTTAAATCAGGAAGTATCTGATCTAGAGATTATTAGTGGATCGATCATTTTATAGCATCGTATAATGAATATCTGTGGGTTTTGGACTGTTGATCGGACAGAACAACATGCCCGTCTATTTTTAGGATATTTTGATGGGGATTCTTGCACTTTTTTGAGATTTTATAGATGATTAGACTCGGCAATAACTGTATGACGAGTAAATAATGAAAATAATCAATAGATGCAGCCCTAATGCGATCAAAGAACAGGTAAATAACATTATCAAACTGACAGGATTTGAAAGATTGGTGTTTGAGACACATGTCGGTCAGATATCATCTTAAGATGAGACATCCAAACTGACTGTATGACTGGATCTCTACCTCTGTGACAGAGAGGCAGTGAGACACCTGGAAGTGAGGGAGGTGGGCGGAGCAAACTTTGCTGATGTAAACATCAGAAGCATCTCACCAAGACGAGCAGCGGACAGGAACAGAGACAAAGAAGGCTCGCTCCTTCACAATTCCAGATAAGCCATCCCATCCCCGACTGAGGGGCAGGGCAGCACTTGGCCGTATCATTGCAGTTACCGCGGCGATGCAGCAGCCGCTCTGCTCTGCATCTCCCAGCGCAGACGCATTCAACGTGCCGCATGCAGCAGCAGCAGCAACAGCAGCAGCCAAGTAACAGCTCATAAAAACACCATCTCAGCACAATCATCCCCCCTGACCCTGTCTCCATCCCCTCTGGACACAAAGGAACAAAAGCTTTTCATCCCTTTTATCCACAAAAACATGCAGAGTGCAAGAGAGACCAGAGGATTAGGATTCCTCCATCTGACCCACAAACAGCCCTGAAGCCTTCCAAACTGAACTTTTTGTGCAGCTTGCATCTATGCGATGAGGAAGTCCTGAGAGGGACCAGAGAGGGATTGTGGGAAAACAAGGCGGTCCCGCAAGCATATGACGGTGATGACAGCGGTCAGAAGAAGAAGTAAAAATCAGTTTTTTAAAAAGGGCGAGAGGAGTACCTTTGAGGGAGCTGATCTCATGCTGGATGGACCGTGCAGGATCCATGCTGGCTGCACCCAGACACCACGCCGGAGGATGCAAGCGTCTCTCTGCTAGATGCAGGCTGTCCGTATCCTGCTCTCCCTCTCGCTGCTCTGCTGCAGCCACACAAGTTGGCAGCTTAGTGTTTTTGCTCACTCCCTCTCCCTCTCGTCTCCCTCTCTCTCTCCGCTGCCAGTCTTGCACACAATCCCCGTCAGCAGAAGGAATTGTGGAAAAAAGAAGAAAAAAAGAAAGCACGTCTCCCTTCTTTCCCACCTCTCACCCCTCCCCGGTGTCGTCCCGTCTCATCCTCGTGGTGCCTCGACCAATAACAGTGGCGCTCGGCTGTCACATCACAACGCTGAGCTAAAGCAAACAATGTAGCAAGTGTGAAACGATGAGTGTTTTGACTGAGGGGTAGGAGGTGATGTGAAGATATAATGTTTACTAGTCGAGGAGATCAAACAAACCATCTACTATGAGGTCTGTTTAAATCAAATACCAAATGAAGGTAAAGCTGAGAAATATCAAATCACTGGCTGGTTTATTTTTATTTCTCCCCCATCAGGACAGCAGCATCAGTGACTCAGCATTATACTCTGGATATTCTTTCATGAATAGTGCTGCAGAGGGGACCTTGGACCTCGGAGGGGTTTAGATGACAGAGCGCTTTTTTAGGAAACTACACTTTGCAATCTGAACAAAATTAAACTTACACCACATTCCCGTAACAGCTGAAATCACTTATTAGAGCTGCCAAATTAATTTCTACCAATTAACTAATTAAATTCAGCTCTGTGAGTCTGCCAGTTGCTATTTGTATAATTTAATCTCATCTATGCTAATGCGATGATAAAGTTTTAAAAGATATTAAAAAACAATCCAATCTACTAATAAATAATCAATAAACCAAGAGCCCTCGAGCTTTACATTGTTAGATCCTTCACAGTGAAGGTGATGCTGACTGTGACTCAGCAGTCTCCTCTAGTCTCCAATGACCGGCTGGTGCTCTGATGTGTCGTGTCTGAGGTCAGCAGTAGGCTACTGACATTGCTGGTCAGTATGAAAGGACTGACAGAGGGCATATTATAGAGGATATAGAGCAGATGTGAAAAAAGCATTTAAGGATTCAGGATCAGCGTCATATTTGACCTGCTCTTCTGATATCAACATTTTTCCCAGAATCAAAGCTGTGCTTATGGAAACTGACGAGTCAAACAGGTCAACAACAACAGAGGAAAGCTCAACTACAGAAAACACAATCACGAGTGTTGTCTAAAGCTCAGATCATCCACTTCACAATGTACCGAGTCAGCAAAGACACTTAAGGAAAAAAAAGGCTTTTACTTTGTGAAATAGGAGCCGTTTGGTTTGTGCAGCATATGATCTATTTGTGTGTAGGTCCGTGTGCTGCGCTGCTTCTTTGTCATGCTGCTACTTCAGTCAATAAGTGAGCTGATCAATGACACCGCTCTACAGGATGGTGATCAATGCTGTGCATCAGGGCCACATGTCCACACGGCTTCTAGTTTCACAGTCAGCGCCACTTCCTGCTAAAGGTTCGTCTTCCTCCTAACTGCTGCTACGGGACACTAGCTAAGTGTTCAGTGGCCATACTACTTCACTTAAAATATAACAAAGCATCCATTACAAATCAATGGAAATGATAATGTTCTCAGCGCTGGTTTTTAAAATATTCTAGCAGAGCTTTGACAGCTGCTTTTTATCATAAAAGATAAATAGCTGAAATATTTCACATTGCCTACAAACCGAGCACAGGCGCTGAATCACAACAGGGTTACCTGCATATAATTACATTATGTCGCTGATGTATTTTCAGGGTTTGCTATACGGGCTGAAACGACCCCTTTTACAATCTATATACAATCAATGAATGCTTGTCGACACAGAACCAGTTTCAGCCAGTTATAAGAGACAGTGAGGGAATAAATATAGAGGTACAGTGACTGAGAGGATTAACCCTTCAATGATGAGAACAGACCCTCAGATGTCAATATTAAGTTTGAGATAGATTCACTCTATTCTATTATCCAAATGCTGCTTTTTATTGCCCAAACAGGACAACAACACAATTAGACAAAGCATGCAGTCTCTTCCTTGTCACAGAGTGACATTCTGTTTAATCAGATATTTCACTTTGTCTCACAGAGGACTTTTTATTCCTGCAAATCAAGGCTCTCGGGCAGAACTTTCTCAAATCCTTACTCCTGAGACCGGCAGTCTGAACTCGGTACTTTAAAAAAGGTATACCGGCCGAATTACGTTGGTATTATGGAGGAGCACCGACGCCCAGAGGTGCTTTCACACACTGAGTCAGGGCAATGGTGAGCCGAAAGCGGTCGCAAGTAAATGGACCTGCATTGTATAGCGCGTTTCTAGCCTTCTGACCATTCGCCCATCCACACACATTGGTACACTGATGCAGGGGGCTACCATGCAAGGGCCCATAAGGACTACACTAATTCACATTCACACCCATTCATACGCCGATGGCAGAGCCTTCAGGAGCGATTCGGGGTCAAGTCACAAGGACGCATCGACGTGGACTGTAAGAGCCGGGGATCGATCTGCCGATCTTCTGATTGAAAGACGACCCGTGCGGTTACATTTTTTATATTCAACCCAGAAGCTGTGCTTTTCTCCTCTGTCCTTAATGCATTTTAAAGGTGGACCTCTTCAGGAGCGGTAAACAACCTAGAATGCCTGCAGATGTGACTCTTTTGCCAGCCTTTCTCACAGCAGACATTCTGACTTGTTATAGCAGAGACGGCACAACAGTAACTGATAACAGTGCTGATGGACGCGCTCCATTTAGGTGTGGCCGTAAGCCATGGCAGTGAGCCTTGGAGCTGGCACACCTAAATGGAATGCAGCCATCTTTAATGTTATTAGCTACACCTGTTTGAAAAAACAAAATGTCTGCAGTAAGAAGGCTCTGTTTCTCTAGATCAATAATACCTGGATATGGGGCACAACAGCTGAACATACTAATGCCTAACGTATACTAACGTGTACTTCTGCAGAGAAGATCCCGCAGAGCCAAATGGGTGGTTGAGAGCTGCAGAGACGCCTAGCACACCCTGAAAAATATGACTACGCGCCGGGCACAGGAGCTCCTCATCATCATCCAACTCTTCCACCATTTTTTTCCAGCCATGCAATTGTGTTGGACCAGTGGTGGAAGTGAAATGTTGCCCTCTGTTTGTAGAGAGCATGTGGCCAGTTCTTACACATTGCACCTTTAATATAGGAAAAGGTGGTGCACGCTGTGAAATGTTGAGGTTCACTTTTGCCACTTAAAGGGACAAACTAGTATTTCACAGATGCATGTTTACCTCAGTCTATACATTATTAAAAGGAGAACAGATTCGGTCAGAACACAGATATTCATGCCGTCTAAATGATACATAATATAATGAATACTTGTTTTTTTATATCACTGTTAAAATCGGTTTCAAGAATTAAAGTTGTTGCTTAATACCACATGATGACTGCCATTAGAAAATGGAGAAAGTCAAGTTTCTTTGCTAAATGTCACAGTGTGTCATGGGAAGCCACCTGAGTCCACACCCCCGGCTGACCAGACGTTTCTGTTTCCGTGCAGCTGTTCAGTACTACGGTGTTAAAACTCAGTCTGAAACACAGCCAAAAGTCTCATGCCCCTCTTAATCAGAGGCGGAGGACCTGATACACCCCCACCCCACCCCACCTCTCTCTGGGGTGTGGCTCCCCCTCCCCCCCCGGAGCTCAGCCGTGAGAAGCTGGAGCTGGACCAGGACACTCTGTGGTGAGCGTGTGCACTTCTTGAATCTGTTATTTCAGTGAGTCGGAAGTGATTTTTAGAAAGTAACCACACTTAAATACAGAGCAAATTAAATGGTGCTTCTGTTGTTATGCTCGCCCAGTCCCGCCCCCGTGGGCTCTCTTTTCTCTGTCTGATGAAGTGTGGAGAACAATTACGCTCCTCAGTTAACCCGACTCCCGGTCCACGGTCTGCAGTGCAAAAGAAGGTTCCTATATTATTGCATTTACATGCATCCATTTAAAAAAAATTAGATCATAATGAGTTTGAATGGTGACTTGAGCATGGAGCATGTTGCATGAAGCTTTGACGATTTGTTGCTACAGTTACTGCTATTTTAATATACATTTTACACTAGTTAGTGTTGACCAGAGATAACCATGGACGTATACAAGAGAACTGGATACAGGAAGAGCGCCGGGCTTCGAGGACAATTTGACATAGTGGACAAAATGGTAAATCAACTTCCTAATACAAACACTTAAATAGCCCTCATTTGATTCATTATGTCCTTATGCATGAATAGCCAAATTCAAAGTTCCTTCCAGAGGCTTAATGAACTGTCATTTATGTGAGCGAGCCGGAGCGGTTGGGAGGCGGAGTTAAAGGAAACTCTAGTGCGCCTGCTCTGTGTGCCACCACTGAGCAACTTTGATATGACTGACCGAGGCCCCGCCTCCGACGCTGTATCCATCCATGGCACTAACTAACCAGACAGCCAATCAGGACCAAACATTTGATATGGATACACATGTTATAATACCTGTTATATTATGACCCCTACAGCTAGCCTATGTAGCCTTATAGCATGTCTTGTATGTAACGTATTTGTAGCAGTTCGTAAACTCAGCGTAAACAAACTTTGTTGACCCTTCTGTAGTTCTGTCACTTAGTGGGAGACACCATCGCTGTCAACTTCCTGATGCTGGGAGGCTGATATTAACTACAAGGCGTGAACACAAGAGAGCAACGAGAGAGTAACATGGTGTGTGTGTGTGTTCTTTAAGCCACGTTCAGACAGAAGAATGAAAGAGCTCTTAACAGGAAGACACCAACACGGGAGGAATTCACAGAATGTGCCAAGATGAAAAATGGATTGTGAGGCCCGCTATCCTTCAGATCTACAAATGTGAAAGAGACACATTCAGGCCGTCTTTCTGCCTTTTGTGTAGCACTGACGGAGATCCACTAGAGGCTGTTCTAGGGCCACCTGGAGGAACAATTCATTACCAAAGAACAACGGATCCATTCTGTGCGGCTGCTGCTGCTGCCGATAACTATGACCTTAAAGATGCGAATGAAGAAGATGAGGATTACTAACTATTTTTTTAAAGGGCCAGGAAATTTATCTGCAAAGTGTTTCTGGGTATGATACGATTTTAATTGAATTTCTGTCGACTTGTTTTTACTTTGACCAGCATGAACTTGTGACATATAAACCTGCAGACCGGAGCATTTTCTCAGCTCATGGTGAGCCTTTTAATCCTCTGATTGAAGTAAAAACAAGTTGCAGTGTTTTCAAATGACACGGTGATATTTTGAATATCAGCATTATGACTACAATTGTATCTCAAGAAGTCGGTGACATGATTCACACCTACGAGCTCGTTCTTTCTCGGCCTTGAGAATTGGATGGAAAGGTGAGACACAATCAGTGTAAATGTGGTTATTGTTGAATCACTGCTGCAGACCCACTGGTAAATAACCTTCCCACGTTTTCAGCGGTAGCTGGGCGTGGACTCGTGGAAAAGGCAGCAGTGCTTTGTCAAACTCAGGCACCCTGCTGAAGGAGAACTTGCCAGCCAGCTGGAATGTCAGCCTTGACTGCTGACATTCCTGGCATTAGTCTGGCTTACTGCAGCATGCCAGAACCAGGGTGTTAGCACCATTGTACCACAGCCCAGGACCATCACACTGTACACGGGTTAGGCTGAAGGATGAACAGTCGACACATGGTGACACTCTTCTGAAGGTGGCACTTCGTAAAAGACAGATTGATGTTTCACTATTGCATGGTGGTATTGAAGTAATTAATCAATACCAAAAATGCACACAGAGTGCTGCAGGGATGACATATTTTTGTGGGCTAACCAGGAAGTTAGCATCGCATTGGTTCCGATGGGAAAGAGCCAATGGGATTTTTCCACTGGATTTTTGATTATTGTAGAAAATATACTTTTATGATACTTACACTTTTTGTTCAGCAAGATAATCTTCACAAATGAACACCGATTCCATGATTGTTGAAGAGTGAATGCAATCGGCAGAAGTAAAAAGCTAACGCTAGGTTATGAACGCACTACACCACAGTCACAGGAGCGCTAGTAAAAGGGGTATTTACTGTTTTTACTTACTTATTTATAGGCATCTTACCAAAAACCCATCGACTTTGAGACGAGGGAACCAGAAGTGCGAAAATGCTGACTCATTGTTGGGTTTTAGGACTCAATCCAGCGCCACTCTTCATGTGGGGATACAATGCTACAGAGCACAAATCTTTAGTTGGAATGGTACTTCAGTTTATTTTTGCATCCACTCACAATCTTTCATAGCTCCACCACACAGAGCACTCAGGCGGGATGAAATGACAGTTTGTGTTTGACTGTCTCCTGGAAACAGAAGTCGACCAGACACATTTATCCGCCGGTGACATCATCCCCACAGGCAGATTAGAAAGACATCCTTTCACAGTGTCACTGCTGTCGGTCAATATCGTACCAGACGGCATCCGTCTCTCAGAACACTGTGGGAAAGTAAACAGTGACTTCACACTGTCAAATAAACTTCATTGATTCTTCTTCTTTCTTTTTACTTTTGACATTAAAAGTAACAGATAGCAACCGTTAAAGCAGATGTGCAGGAAGCAGGAAGAGAATCAAACACCTGATTGTGTGTTTTTGTCATCAAGTGATTTTGATCATTACAGGTCTAGAATTATGACAAATGCCACATGTTAACCAGTCAAACATCTACAAAGTTGCTCGCTTTGACTGCTCGCAATTTTACAAAATGAGGACAGTTATATTTGTCACATTTTAGCTGTATTTTCATAGGTCTAGGTTTATTGAAAAATGACTAGCTTAACATTTCTGCAACAGACCTCTTTTATTCAATTGTATAGATTTCAAAAAAGCTGCAAAATGATAAAAGAAAAACATGGATTCAACCACATCTTAGGGGATAATGAAGACCATGAGATGTGGTCGAAAGCTTTTCTGATTCAGTTTTAGAGTAAAAATCTCTTGTTACAGTGAATATTTTGCATTCTGGTTAGTTAGGTGATCAACGTCAGCTGTTATTGACTGTTATTGAGAGAACACTGATCCTCTGCTCTAACACAAATCCCATCTCAGTTACAGCCGCTCTGCCTCGTCCCCTCTGGGCTCAGTTCACTGTACGCTGGTTCAACCTTTCTGTGCACTAAACTGTTCCACAGAAGAAAGCAGAGAGTAAAGAAACTAATTACTTCCCGATGTCATTAATCATCAAAGGGGATTCTGACTCCGTGAAAGAATGTGGACTGATCTAATACTGCCAGATAAAGTGGCACGACCAGTGGAGCCTGTGCTGCAACCTGCTCTTTCTGTAGGAGCAGTGCTGCTTCAAAACTCACAGCTGTCACGGCATTTTATCTTCTCCGATGTAAAAGCTTTCTACATTTGGCACGATAACACCTTTTTTAGGCGGGTTTGGTGGCCATGGCGTAATGTTTAAAATGTCTATCGGACCTCTTACCAATCAGAATCCAGTATTCACTGTGGCCTTTGTTTCTTTTCACATTATTTTCATGGTCATTAGCTTCCATTTAGGAGAATTTCACAGTACATAGTTGCTCTTTGCGTATGAATCGGCTCTGAACAAAAGTATTCCTACATCGTTTTGCGTCCATGTGGTTCTTTATCTTGATCGTCTAGTTGACCAAGAAATTAATATTCAGCCGTTCCTTACAATCATGAGAGTACTGAAAAAAAATAGGTTGATAAATAAGTCGACTGAGAAAATGTGCAGATGACGCATTAATTGTTCATGTCAGTAAACAAGAAACAAGTCACAAACATGTCTGGTCACATTAGCTCCAATGTGAGGATTTGCTGTTTTAATTTGAGTCTTCATTGGTTGGTTGGAACCAGCAGTTTGAAGTAGCTCTCTGTGGCTCTGGGAACTTGTTTGTTACTAAACTACAAACCTATTAATCTTAAAAAAATTAATTAATTGGTTAATACATAGTAAAACTAGCAAAAAATATGAAAACAAAGCAGTTTTTCTTGGTTTAAGGAAAGCAAAATGTGTTTATTTATTGGTGTATTTGGTAGGAACAGTGCACATTAATAAGACATTCCTGTAAATGTTAGCCAAGAGGCTATTTTTCCTCTGTGGTCCCAGGGCAGATGCTACAAAGTCAACCTAAAAACAGAATATAAGATTCAATGTGTGGAGATACAATGTTTTCACTAATCGGATAGTCGTGTTCAATTACTCCACATACACAAGCTAACACATCATGTGCTCGACACACAATATGTTTCAGCTGCACATGTGAACAAACAGAGACCAAACAGGTCATCTCACAAACTCATGTGAAGTAGCAGACAGGTGAGAGGATTTCCGGGTAATCTACGGCACACTGAGCCGTCCTGTTGGCACGGAACTGTGGGATCGAGTGAAGGTGCGAACATATGTGGAGATAATATACGAGTGTGTCCTCTGTCAATGGAGGTCACCACACCCAGAGGCCCGAAAGGTACACACAAGTGACCCGGACATTTTAGTGACTTTCATGAAAGAATAGCGTGCTTCTCTGTCGGTTAAGAAAAGTCCCCCAGACATAACAAACAAACACACTGAGGTCCAGCTAGATGAATGCTGTTTGTCTTTGTCACTATGGCGATCATTCTGACAGACAGAAGAAGACACAGAGACACCCTCGGGGGTCAAGCTCTCTCTCTGAAATAACACTCCGTTAACGTCTCGGTTCATGCACGCAGACTAAATCTAAATTCCATGACTGAAACTTTCCTCTGGACCAACCACGCACACAGCCTGCTGTCCAACTGCAGCGCAGAGAGACTGAAGAACCGCTGGATGACATTGAATACCGCTGCTTAAAAATCCTAAAATGACAATTTCCACATAATCGTCCAACAGCTACAGTCCGACTCATTTGTCTGATTGGTTTAAAACGGTCATTCACTGTTTCTTGTTGCGCGTGTTGATGCTGATGAGATTATGTCTGAAGATGATTGACAGCTCACAACAAGCCGACAGCAGACACAGGAATATTTTCCATTAAAATAAGGAGTCATTTCACTTTAGGAGCCTCTTTCAGGGTTGAAGACAAACAGTCCATTGAAACAAGAGTTTACACAGTGAACCAAACACGTTCAGATTACTGAGTTCAGACCATAGACTGTATAAAACAATACAGTTCAGCATTTTGGCCGTCGCCATCTGGGTTTTTTGTAACCAGTGAACAGAAGTGACCATATTTGGACTGCGTAGGAGTGACGCTGTGAGAGAGATGCCATATACATCTCTGGTAGCGACCTGTCAATCACGATGTAGCCCCGCCCTAAATCATACCCTGCTCTATGATCTATATTGAACAATTCACCTCAGGTTATAATGTGTTGATTAAAGAGCTTTAGAGGTGCTGCTTTGTAACTTTAAGAAGCTCACCGTCTCCTGGCTCCAGTAATATTTACTGTACGGACATGGATAGAGTGAATGCCACTGTGTTTCTCATATAGCTCTCAGTAAGGAAGCCAATAATTCATATTTTCTTACATTTTGAACTATTTGTTTAATGACAGACTAAGATGCTTTATTTCAACATGGATGACCCTTACACAAAACACACATACAGCTAAAAGGGTTCAATGTTGACATTATGTACAGTGATAATGAACTAATGAAAGGTTGTGCTGTTCACTGACATTCAATATCTATATATATAGACATATTTTTTTGCATATTCTGAGATATCGCCTTAGAAAAGCTGTGTGGAAACGGTAAGATTTGATAAAACTTCCTCAACTGCGCAAAAAGAAAATAATAATTGTAGTCTTTGATGCTCTAAATGGGATATGGAAACGCCTTTGAACAATAACTTCTGACATTTAACTCACATGACTGATCAGCTGTTTTTGCTGTCTGCGTCTTTTCGGGAACATATTTATATCGTCTTCGTCTTAGGACAGCACGATGCGTGGACAATATGACTCTGTTTCCTGGCGGAGTACAGCCATGTGTAGCCTATAGCGCCAACTTCTAACCAATCTACGCTGTAGTTTATGCGCTTCAAACCAGTTGCTGGAAACGCACAGATGAGAACATTTACATAAATATTTGTATTCTTTGTCCGATAGCTTTCTAATATATATATATATATATATATTACTGTTGGAAACGTAACATAGCCTCCCAGCCCTGATTTCATTACAACACACAATATTTCCTCCAAATCCCAAAACCTCCTCCAGCCTCCATGTGGAATGTTTTCAAACTAAAATCGGAACTTTTACATCGTAAAAAGCTTACTGGCTAAAGTTATGTGTTTTGATTAAGCATCGATGCATACGAGTCGTTTTCTGTGTGCACAACATGCGTGCATAACTTGAGGACTAGTGCTATTTTTGAATTTGAGATCAAGTTACATGAAACTGATCTGAGGCAAGTACTGAAAGTGAAGTGTGGAGGGGGCTCCTCTGTGGACGCTCCGGCTCAACAGTGATTCACAAGATAAACTTATCACAGCCCTTTTAGAAGTGAACCCTGCTGGTATTCTCTCTCTCACACGCACGCACACACGCACAGGTCTGTTGTATCTGCAGGCCTATTTGAGAGTGTTTGAGAAGGGGGAGTGGGACACTGAATACATTTAAAATCCACCTTGCGGGTTGGATTTAATCACACGCCGACCTCCACTCTACAGAGTGAACACAAGACAAAGACTATTGTCATCGTCTTGTGAAACACAGTTTAGCTGGAACTTCAAATGGCGAATGGGGTAACACAATGGTGATTGAGCGTATGGATAACTGATATAAGTATTACAATATTTAAATGTTTGCAGTATTACGGACTGGATGTCTGTGGCGACATGCCTGGAAGAAATGCTGTATTAAGTTACTGCTATTGCAAACCCAACATTTCCTGCTGAAGTAGAACGTGTTAGTCAGTGAGTGTGACACTGACCGCTATCGTTCAGCATGTGTACACATCCAGTACCACTATACGTTCAGCAGCTAGCGTAGCATAGAAGTGTTGATGTGCTATACTCTGCTAATGTTAGCTCCACGGGCTTTTACTTAGAAACATAACATTTAAGAAACGTATTTCTCTTTCGAACCTCTCCGGGTAACGAGCACCATGACTAGCTATGACTAGCATGACTAGCTATCAAATCCACTATAGCAGTCCGAACATGAGGAAAATCTGAAACCATTGCATGAGAGTCTAAGGAGCCGGCTAGATTAGCTTGATGCTACGCTAGGACTGGTCTTCTGTGTCTTCATGAGTGTCTTTCTGCCTTAAATAATTACCCTCTTATCTGCGCCATTTAGTTTTGGAGATTTTATATTTATTTCAGTTTATTACAAAAGAGTATTCGCCACCTCAGGGCTTGAAATTAAGCTTTTTCAGCTACTTGCCTTTGGGTAAGTGGCTACTTGTCTAAAACCAAAAATCGGGCATGTTAAAATCGGCAAGTAGAAAGCACTGATGGCGATCTCCCAATCACATATTTTTCACTTGTCTGATCGGAAACCTGGATTAGACATTCCACTTGCCCGAACACAGAGGGTACTTGCCCTGTGCAAGCGAGCAACTGTTAATGTTGAGCCTTTTCTCTTTAGTTTTTAAGTTTACAATGATGATCTTTGAACTTTATTCATCTTAAAAATTAAAAGTTTGAGGAAAAAGTCTGTTACTTTGAAAATAATTCTTGGATATTTGGCAGCAAAACCACCAACTGAACTTGAAAGAATGCATAATTGAGGCTAAGAGGTCACCTGAGTCTGAGGCGGGGTCATGGCGTTAGTGTTGGTATATCTACTGTATTTAAATCCTTCCATCCTGCAATGTTCCTGCCTCAGTATTTTAGACTTTCTAAGTACTTCATTGGGAGGATGAACAATGCAGCCAAACCGCTTTAATGGCAAAACCTCGTTCTAAAAGGAGATATCCAACATTTGCAATATGTGACTTGTATTCCAAAGACATTGATTGCACACAAAATACTTTGATGTTGCAATACTACTAACATTTGTAGAGGGAAAGACTTTTATTATTTAGTTATTGCAGCCTTTTGAAGCAACATCTCACTGAGCTAAATGTCAAAAGTGGTCTAAGTCGGTCTTTCAACCAGAATAGCTTGAAGACTGACGGAATAAACTGCTGGTATATATTTGTTGTGAGTATTTAAAGCAGAGCTGCTTGTTGTACACTAATAGATCTGTTCAGCTACTATTATAAACCAGAGCTCCACTCAACCACGCCATCATTCCCAAGGGAATTTCACCTGTTGCAATAGCTTATGCAAATAGACCTCCCAAGACAAGAATACCAACTTGATTAATGTGAGATAAAGTCATTTCATTTTGGAAAAAACATTCACATTCAACCTCCCAGCGGTAAATACAAGTTGTACATGAGGCATATTATTTTAGGATCCGATATCTCTCATCACTCTTATGAAGTTTGAACCAGCATCAACATCAGTTGATCGCTATCGACAGATATTCAGTAGAAATATGCGACTAGCAGATTGCCATTAAAGCTCTCTTGGTGCCGATCCCTGATAATGCTACATTGTGAACAACAAATGTGTGTTGAAGAGCTAGTAGCGCTAGCAGCACCGCTAACGGCTAACGTATGGAGGTTGCATTCAGTTACATTATGGTGCGTTCAGGCTCTGTTCAATGAAAATGACAATTTGGCGAAGGTATATTAACCTTATCATGATGTGTTCAAATGTTATCTTGTAAAAGTTAACGTACAATGAAGTGTAATAGCTTTGGAGAGAAACATGATTGAATTCAGTTGTTTGAAGGAGATTCGCCAAAATATTAAATAGATATTAAAGATGAATTATGAGCTGCTTAACTTTCTAATACTAGCTCTAAGCAGCTTATAATACATCATTAAAACTACTAATGACAAAATGTCTCAACCAAAACACTGTCTTATATTTCCTAATTGCATGAATTGTTTGTTTTTATGCAAATAACCACTATAAATGATTATAACAAAGGAAAAAGGATAACATCTAGAACTTTTGATGAGTTACACTTAAAATATTTTTGGGACGGTGGTGAAAAAAACAATACTCTGGAGCTTTGTAGACTAGCTGCTGTAACAAAACAAAAACACGGATCCTCAATGATCAGCAATTGGTATCGGCAGCAAAAAAAACGTGATCGGGACATCTCTAAAAGTTATATGTATAGGCTCACTCTCCTCTGATCCGATCCCTGACTCACAACCGTGATACGATCAGAACCGTGAGTCTTATGATCCGTTGCACCCCTATTATCCAGTCATGCTAATAATTACACCTGCTTTCAATACATTAGTAATATCAGTTGCAGGTTATTTATGACTCATGAATGAAACTACATTTGGAAATGTGTCTCTCAACAAATAAAAAAAACACGTTTCCCTGCTTCTTCTGACATGACATGAACACAGCATTAAGTGGCCCTTACTTGAGTCATTCAGTTCACACACACAGATTCAAGCAGTGGCTTGGGAGAAAGGAGCTGTCATCTCATCACAAACCCCAAAACAGTCAACCCACTTTTAGCTCAAAAACCAGATCAGCTTCACACCACGAGGAACAGTTGATGAAACAACTTTCCCTCTCTTTAAACAACACCTCCCTCCTTTCACACAGAGATGTGTCCAGACTTTTCCACTAGCTCTGGATGTACAATTATCTAAAACAAATAGCATCAAGCCAAAAACAGGAGCGAGTAACAGGAAGTTGACGGGAGGGGGGGGGGGGGGGGGGGGGGGGTCGTGGAGCAGCAGACTGGTGCCAGAGCGACACAGCAGGAACTCTGCCCACAGTGACACACACAGTAGGCAACCGCATGGGAAGAAAAGGACTAGACCGTTGAGACTGGATGGACCGATGCCGTTCCCAGCATACACACACAGATGAGGCCCATTTGCCCTTTTGATTCTGTTGTACGTGGGGTGGAAATTATGCCCACAGTCATAATTTCTGCTTTTGTTTCTCACCTATTTTTAACCAGAGATTTAGCTGAAAATCCATGCTGCCTCTCGGCAACAATGCCTTGCTTTGATATCGCTACACACAGAGAACCTTAGAAGACCTCCACAGTACAAATTACTGCCGGCTCCACAGAAAGAGAGCTGCTCCGTCACTTGTGCCCGACTGTATATACAGTATGGATGGCAAGTGGAATAAGAGAGCACAGCTGTTCCTGTCAGCCTGTGTCCTAGCCCACATCAAGTCCAGATGTTGCTGTAATTCACCTGTCTCTAATTGCACATTGAGCTTGAGAGTGACACATATAGGCAAGAGGTCTGTGGCTTTCATTGTAAAAGCGACAGTCTGGATTGGAAAGAAATAATGAAGTAAATACAGCTTTTCATATGTAGTAATATGCCGTACCATCATGGTACATCACATGAGGCTCTTCTTTGGGTGCTACATGGTCATGAAGGAAGGGTGCTTGAGCATCGGTCAGCATTGATCAGGGCTGCAGCAGAAGCATTTCAACAGTTCATCTATTCCAGCTTTCCTTTGGCAGATTTTACATTCATCTATTTGGTGCATAAGTAAACCAGCAGAGCAGTGTATAAAAAAACTGCGTCAGACTCATGAATAAAGTAAGCAGATGATCTGCAGGGAGCATCTTGAGGTTGATCGGGCTTCCTGAAATGATGAACACTATCGAGTCATGGCGGTGTGTTTACCCAGACATAGTCATTTGAACGTCCTTCTGATGAGCCGTCTCGTTGGCTGGTAGCTCCCATCACTCATGTTGCTCTGTTGGACCTGTGCCAGGCAACCAAAGGCCAAATGTCTCCCCTCTCTGTGCTCGGTCCACAGTGATTCCCCAGCAAGCATGCAAAGGAGGCTGCCAGCTCAGAGAGGAGGACACAGGCTTGTGTTTTATTGACGTGTGATTGCTGAACCTGAAAGCCACAGCACAGCCTCCTGCACCTCAGAGAGACATCTTTCCTTTCAGCTCTCAAAAATCATCACCACAGAGGAAACCACTGTAGTGACACTGTGTCACTTCCACCAGTTTGAAACTATTATAATAAAGATTTGATACCGAACTTTGTCCAGCAGCTCCTTGCAAACGTGTCAGACAATATTCAATGTCTACAATAGAAATGTTATACTTCCTGTTTCTACGTCCCACATAAAGTTTTCTTAAACAATTAATGCCGGTAAATCAGTCAACTATTATCACACCAAACCTCCCGTTCACACATACTGTCATTTGAGTTATGTACAGTGAACACCACTGAAGAAGAGAAGAAGGGGGGGGGTGCTGTTACCTTTATACTTTTCCCTGACGGTCTCATAGGCCTGCACATAGTCCTGCTCCTCTGACAGCCGCTGACCGGGCTCAAACATGGGCATGGACATGGCTGATGCCGAGTGTGGAGTTAGGGCACCTCTCTTCAAACTGTCCACCCTCTCTGTCCTCCTGCAGTGCTGCTGAAAGCCCTCCCGGCTGTTTGTCCACCTATCTGTCTGTCCCCACCCTCTTCCTCACCCACACACAGTCACAGTTTTCCCTCTGAAGCTGTAGGTTTCATTCCAGACCACCACCACTCCCCTCCTCAGCTTGAGAAATACCCACACACACGCACACATACTTATCAGACCCTCCTCTTAAAGGCACAGAGGCGGACGCTCACCACAAAGATAGCGATACCAGTCTGAAGCAGACCAGCAGATCCCACAAACACACAAACACACACACACACACACACACGCACACACACTGCACGGGCCCACTCCACCTCAGATAGAGACACACATGGCTACCTCGATGAAAAAACAAATGACGGAGCTGCGTGGGGTTATTTGAGTTCCTGCTGCTGGAGAAACTAGGGCAAGGCACACCAAGTGGATCCTGAACTATTCACAGCTTTAAAAAAAAAAAAAAACACTTCGGCAGATTTTCACGTTTTAGTGCCAGAGGACCACACCTCCTTTGGTACAGAGCTAAACACTGGGTCAGTGCTGGATCACAGAGCTCAAAGACAAACAACTCGGAATGTGTGTGAAGTTTACAATCACAGCAAAGGACACTAAAGCTGAAGACAGAACTTTTAATTCAGAAAAAACATCCGTGCAATGTCTTGCCCAAAAGCCAAGACTTGTGCCGAAGTATACTGAAATGTCGCAGTATAAAACATCACGTAATATAATTATTAAGTATTATGTGATGTGACATTTCAGTATACTTCGGCAGAAGTCTCGTATATGTAGTACTGCTCATCAGCCAAAACGTAAACTATTAAATCTGATAATATCTATCAACTTTATCTGCCCAGCTCGGCTTTAGGTGTGGGAAACTCAAGATGAATCAGATTCCAGCCATTTACACTGTGAGATACAGTATGAAGAGATTCCAATTATTTTAGAAGCTGTACTTCAAGGAGTGTGAGTGTAAGGTCCACAGTAAAGATCTACTATTGCATTGAAAGAGCTCACAGACCCTCTCAGATGAAGCAGTGACAACAGCAGGTCAGGGTGCCAAGAGAAACTGCAGCTACAATAGAGATGTGGTGCTTGGAAGAACTTCTCTCCGAAAGGAAAAGTTCACAGGAAATTGAATCACTCAAAGAGTATTTCCTTATCAACAGTACCAGAACTTCAGTTGCCTGGTGAGGCATGATTGTTGATAGGTAAGCCAAATAAGATTGAAGATTTGTTTTATGAATTGCTTTTTTACTGCTGCTTTAAAATCAACATATCTATCTAGGACCACAGACTGTATATAAGAAGTGGACGTAGTCGTGGTGATGTCACCCATTGGTTTGTGGACTGACGTTTTGAAGCCTCGAAGTTCCGTCATCTTGGCTTTTTGCAACCAGTGAAGGGAAGTGACCTTATTTGATCATATATGGCTCTCGTAGCGACCTGTCAATCACCGTGTAGCCCCGCCCTAAAGCATCCCCTGCTTTATGGTCTGTTTGACTCTAAATGGACCATCATTTTCTAAATGAACATCATGCTGTGTTGAAGAAGACTTGAAACTAGAGATTGAGACCATAAACTCATGTTTACAATGTTTACTGAGGGAATAAATCAAGTGAGAAGTAGACACGCTGCACTACAGTTACACTACTTCCTAAATACCCCACAATGCAATGCTTAACCTTTGATAGAAAATTACAATTACACCGATGGTGGAAAATGTTGATGACGTGTCCATTTATATACAGTATATATGTCAACAAGCCTCCACACTGTGACAGTGAGCCGTCACGTACAACACCAGGACCCTGAGACTGAAGCACAGCCTTCATTCTACCATCATGGCATGTAACAATTTGTGCCATTAAAAAGGCTTATAATGCACCAAGTCCTTCACAGTTGGTGCATGAATTTTACAAAATGACTCGTGCATTAACAAATGCCAATGGAAGTAAGTGTGACAGCATCTCATGCAAATGTCATGCGTGTTCTTTTAGTGTGTAGTTATGTGTGTGAGCCACGCAGCTCGAGTACCGTCTCACAACTCTCTGTTCTATTAACAGTGTTTGACAATATGCACCATTAAAGTCAGTGGAGCCAGAACATTAATGCGGCTACACTCTCACTAAAGGCAACAACATGCTGCAGATATCTTCTCAGCCTGAGCACATGTGTGTGTTATCACTTTCTCATACAGGTGGGAGCTTTTGTTTACTCAGCTTTCAGAAAGAATTAGGAGGATTTCACCAGCATGAAACTGCAAGTTGCAAAATGTGCATCGATAAATCCTTCACGTCAGGATTGTGAAAAGTCTTTCACTTGAATAATCAACTTTGAGCCGCCCAACTCAGTGTGGTGTTTCTCAACCAGTGAGTTATGACCCAAACGTGAGGTTCTGATGATGATGTGGTTATTCATCTGTAATGAGTTCCAGGAAGTAGCACATTCACTGAAGGCGTTTCTTTTTTTACAATACATACAAAATGATGATGTTGATTTTGTTAAATATTACTTATAAGGACTTTTTAAACGGAGCAGGCGATCTGGTTTATAAAGCCTGAAAATCATAATACTATACAGCTGCATGTGCAGCCATGAGAGTGTAACTCATACATCACATCGGCCTAAATAAATCATGAGCATGCATAAACAGCGGCTTGTTTGGAGTGAGAAGCAGAAAACCTTGCAGTTCCACTGACAGCCACCATGAAAAAGTGAGAGAGAGGAGAGTCACCTACAGAAGGTCAAGGAAAGTGTTTGACACGTCACCTCTGGGAACCTACATCAACTCTCAGCTCAGCTCGAAAGAGATCACCAAAGCACAACACAGATGACAACTCTAAAACTCTGGTGATTTATTCCAGGATGTTTTTCTACAGCACGCTGAACAAGTTGGCTCTGATTGTTCTCATTGATGGGCACAATGTAGGAGTCTCTCTCTGCTTCAATAACATCCCACTGTGTTCTCATCCCTAACCAGCGGATGGTGTCTCTCAGAGAGAGAGAGAGAGAGAGAGAGCCTCACTCTCTTTGTCTCTCGGTTTGCCGGTCTCACTTTGGCTGCAGTGACGGACTGCGGTGCCAACCGGTCGTCCCACACATCACCCGGCTATAGACTCTCCGCCCCGGCTGAGCCACTAATTCATGTTCTCTGCTCAGAGAAAAGAAAACAGCAGCTCGACAAGGGAAGGATACGACTGCCCCCTCACTATTCATTGACTGCTTTTTCTGTGTTCACTGGTTTGTGTTTGGAAAACTTGCCTGGTTACTCGCTTGCAGGTTGGCAGCCTGAATACTAACCACA